TACGCACGCACATACACACGCGCGCGGCTACGCACACGCGCACGCACACACACACACACGCGCGCGCACGCACGCACACACGCACGCACATACACACGCGCGCGGCTACGCACACGCGCACGCACACACACACACGCGCGCGCACGCACGCACACACGCACGCACATACACACGCGCGCGGCTACGCACACGCGCACGCACACACACACACGCGCGCGCACGCAAGCACACACGCACGTTAGCGCGCGCACACACACACATACACACACGCGCGCGCATACACACACGAGCCACATGCAATTACAACTCTGGCATATAAACGGCGTCACGAGGGGCGTGTATTTAGCCACGGGGTTGTCTCTCTCTCGCCGGCCATGCCCTCACAACAACAACCAATCCTCATCATTAACCAATGTACGTGCAGGTGCGCAGCCCTGGGGCGGTAGTCGCTGCAATAACACCCTATACCGCACACAGGTTCTTGCCACGGAGCCACGAACCAGAGCCACCTGCGACGTGAACACCTATAATAGACGTTATTACATCGGGAATTAACATCGGGATTTACACCGATTTTACATCGGGAATTAACGCGTTATAGTGCTGACGTCATACCTCGCGAACGCATCATTGCATGGTCTCTCAATTCAATGTCGTGTGCGCATGTATATATAATTTCAGTTTTACAATCCAACTCGCACGACCACCGTATAGGCATGCATTAATAAATACCAATCTTATAACAGATGCGAAAAGAAACTCCGTTACACAGTAAAATACACGCCAAAGTTTACAATTCGTGTTCCAGTAACGATGATAATTATTACAGCTATATGTGTGTGTGTGTGTGTGTGTGTGTGTGTGTGTGTGTGGAGAAAGGGAAGGAAAGAGAGAGAGAGAGGATGAGGGAGATAAGAGAGAGGTGAGAGAGATTAGAGAGATGGGAAGGAGAGAAATATGGCGAGAGAAGGAGAGAGGGGAGAGAGAGTAAAGGGGAGAGTAGATATTAGAGAGGGGAAAAGAGAGAAGATTTGATCAACTACCGAAATTGAGAACAAATTTCGTTAATTCGTTTGCCACGGCGATGCTCGACCCAGTCCAAGCAGAGGAGTGTGACACGCCCGTCCTGGATAGTGTAGCTTAGGTCCTGGTAACCACACCCGTGCCCACTACGGTGTGACACATCACAGCAACGCACGCACCGCACGCTTAACGATTACGTCACGCACGCGCGCACGCACATAACCACGCACTCACGCACGCACGCGAGTCGCCACATCTGCCACCTTCGTAGCTAAAGCACTGTGTTTAGACGCCATCGGTAACGCGATGGGCATGGAAACAGACGAGCCGGTAGCCATCAATGAAGCACAACGTGGTTCGTTCCGTGCGTGCTGCATCGCGGCGCGATGTCTACATCTCACACTCTCCTTACCACGGTATTCAGCTGGTGGGTGGGGTCGTGCTGTGTGTAGTGTGCAGGGGTCGGTCTTTCTACAGCTGCAGACCAGAGGTCGTACCCGGCGGTGACACCCAGCGGTAGTGCGACGTAGAGAGCGCCCGCCGCCTCCGCATTCACGGTCATCGCGCCAGAGATGCCACCGCATTG